GGGGGGCACCTGGGGGGATGAATACCCAGTCAACTCCTTGCGGGGAATAATTTGATAGAATGTCCTTGGAAACTTCTTTCGAAAACTCCAGAAATTCTCTGCTGAGCGCTCGGTGTGCTCCAACGAAGGTTGTGCCGTTTTCGGACATAATCTTACGAGGCAGACCCCTTCGGCCGACGAATCTTGCGAAAGCTGCGCGAAATGCTTCTGTTGTGAGATTAGAGCACAATTCTAGATGCACAGCCTTGGTCGAGAAGCAAACAAAAACCGCGACATAACCTTTGAGAAAGGTTGCCGTTCTGAGCTGAGACGCTTTAATCTGAAATGGACCAGCGAAGTCTACACCAGTTGTCGAGAAAGGGGTGGACAAACTACAGCGTTCTGGGGGAAGCGCAGCCATGATTTGAGACTGAGCCCGCTGTTTATGAAGCGCACAGACCTTGCAGAGGTGGATACATTTCTTAATCTGCGGCTTCAGCCGGGGAATGTAAAACTCTTGGCGGGCCATGCGAAACATTAGCCTTTGTTCTGCATGCAGAAGTAGTTTGTGGAGGAAAGTCAGATACAAGCAACAAAATCGGGACTTTTCGGGCACAATTACGGGGTGGCGTTCATTATAACTGAGCCCGGATTGGGATAATCGTCCGTTTACCCTCAAGAGACCTTCTTTATCGAGAGAGGGGTTGAGAGTTAAGAGAGAGCTTTTCTTTGACAAGGGCTTTCTCGCGGATAGTGCGCTTACTTCCTGTGGGTAATATCGTGATTGTGCCAACGAAAGGAGCCTCGTTTTGATAAACTGAATTTCGACCTGAGAGAGGGAATTTGTTGAGATACAGGGAGTATTTCTTCTTTTCGCGAGCCCATGGTTGAGGAACCGAAATACGTAAGCAAGCACGCGCAACGCACGGGGAAAAGATGAAAACCGTTCGAGCACATCGGCTGGCTCTTCTATAGCGAGATTGACAACTATGTTTCTTTGCTCGGGAGGCAAAATTGTCGAAACGGTAGGTTTTGGCCAGGCTTCTTCGGAGCGTAGAAGCCAATCTGGGCCATTCCACCAGAGAGTGTTGGACGCCAATTCTCGCGGATTACAACCTCGGGTACCCAAGTCTGCAGGATTTTCACGGCTGATGACATGCCTCCATGTGGCGTTATCAACGCTGCTCATAATCTGGGACGTCCGGTTAGCGACATACGTCTTCCAGGTGTGAGGCGGTTTTTCTAACCACGCAAGTACAATTTGAGAGTCCGACCAAAGGAACGTATTCTCTAAGTAGAGGTCAAGGTTTTCTCGTATGGACTTGACCAACTGGGCGAGCAAGACAGCGCCACAGAGTTCCAACCGCGGGATACTAACGGTTCGCAAAGGTGCCACTTTTCCTTTTGCTGCTAAGAGGTGGCAGGCGACTTTTCCGTCAAGATCCGTTGTGCGCAGGTAGAGAGCAGCGCAGTATGCCTTTTCTGAAGCGTCGCAGAATCCGTGCAGCTGGAGACGATGTATGGGTGAAAACTTTACCCATCGAGGGATTTCGATGGTCGAGATATGAGGTAAATTCTCTAAAATTTGATTCCATTTCACTAGCGATCCTGGCTTGACGCCTTCATCCCAATCTGTACCTTCTAACCATAAAGATTGAAGAAGCAATTTGGCTTGAGTCATAATGGGCGAGAGCCATCCTGCCGGGTCAAACAGTTTTGCGATTGTTGATGAGATTTGCCGCTTCGTGGCAGTCTTTGTAGCATTAATGGGAGCAACTGAATAGGAAAAGGTATCTGAAAGAGCGTTCCATCTCATACCTAGTGTTTTTGTACTACTGGTACTCTCAAATTTTAGAAAGTCGGAATCAAGGAGATCTGACTTCGGGATTTTTTCCAGAATCTTTGGGTTGTTGGCCGTTATCTTGCGGAGTGGGAATCCAGCACTAGCGAGTGTCTTTATAACTTCTGATAATTTATTCACAGCATCTGGAATTGTATGGCTGCCTGATAAAATATCGTCTACATAAGTGTCTCGCAGAAGCACTTGTTCAGCGAGTGGGAACCTGTTGCGTGAATCCTTAGCCAATTGTTGAAGGGTTCTAATGGCTAGAAATGGAGCGCAGTTTACTCCGAATGTAACCGTTTTCAGCCTGAAGTCTTGAACTTCTGAGTTATGCGGTCTGCGAAAGAGAATTCGCTGGAACTCTTGGTCATCTTGATGAACACGGATTTGTCGGTACATCTTCTCTATATCCCCATTATAAACGAATTGATATAATCGCCACCGTAATATCAGGGCCATTAGATCGGGTTGAAGAGCGGGACCAACGTGCAGGACATCGTTGAGGGAATACCCAGAGCTAGTATTCCTAGAGCCGTTAAAAACAACGCGCACCTTTGTAGTTGTTTTGTCAGGTCTGACTACAGCATGATGTGGCAAATAAAATGAGAAATATTTGCTATCTGAGGCGATTTCTTGTGAGCTGGTTGGTTCCATGTGATCCATCGTAAGATATTCTTCTAAGATCTCGTCGTAAATGGCTTTGAGATTGCCTTTTCGGGCGAGATTTTTCTCCATACTGATCAACTGGCTGTAGGCATAGCTACGGGATTGGCCTAATGCATGCAAGTTTGGGAAACTTGATTTGAAGGGGAGTCTCACCACGTATCTGCCGTCTGGCTCACGATATGTGGTCCTTTGGTAGTAGTCCTCGCATGCTATATCCTCTTCTGAAATCGGTACAGGGTGGTACAGTTCTTCTTGCTCCCAGAACTGTCTTAGTTGTGTACTAAGGAGTTCGTTAGAAACTTCTTCCACTTGTGTCGAGAACACTGACACTTCATAAGTGATGGGTCCACTTATGATCCATCCAAATATGGTATTTTGCGCGAGCAGGCCTCCACATATGTTGCGATGTATACCACTGAGCATGATCTGAGGGATCAGATCACTGCCGATAATCATATCGATTTGGGCTTGTTGGAAACAGTTGGGGTCTGCCAAGTCCAACATGGCGAATTGATTCCAATCGGGTTTTTCAATAGTGAAGGTAGGAAGAAGTCTAGTCAATTGTGGAAGGACGATTGCTTGGGTATCAATCGACTTTCTGTTTTTCGGCGAAACTAACTTCACGGAACAAATATGGCTGGAATTTTGAATTAATTTTCCACCCATTCCGGAAATTTCGTATTGAGCCTTTCGGGTGGGGAGCCTTAGACGATTTTGCACTTTCGAGGTGATGAAAGTTTTTTGAGAACCTTGGTCGATGAGAGCTCGAACCTTATGCAGTACTCCGAAATTCTCTATTAAGACGAGAGCTGTTGGAAGTAGAGTTTTTCCTTCGTTTACTGTGTGCATGGATTGCACCTGTGGACTGTATGTATTGGCGGGTGACTGAGAATTGTCAGTCGCGTTTGTGGGTGTTTGTGATGTGTTATGGTTTCCTTGAGCTGTCGGATTTCGTGTTTCCTTCGGGTTTTGAGGTTTCCTGGATCGCCTTAGTGTTTGGCGGTTGGATGCCTGCGATACGTTTTTCTCCTGTTGGCTTTGATCATTGTGAGTGGTCACATGGAGTAACGAATGATGGTTTCTATGACAAACTGCGCACGTATTTTGACTTGAGCAGTCACTTCTTAAGTGGGAGAATGAGAAGCAGTTTTCGCACAGCTGATTTTCTCGGACCACCTTATATTTATCACGCACAGACAACTTCTTGAATTCGAAGCAAAATCTAAGGGGATGATTTCCCTCGCACATAGGACAAGGGTTCGTCGTGTTGCTTTCAACATAGAAGTTTTGAGTTCTGTTATGACTTCGATTCTGAACAAACCCGGGCTTGATATGTTTCATGCCGTGAAGCCGCTCTACTACCTCATATCGTTTTGTAAGAAACTCGTTCATTTGCTCCCAGGTTGGGAGGTCTTTGCGAGAACTTAGGGACTGTTCCCACAAAGATAACGTTTCTTGGGGTAGCTTCGACGAGCATATGTATACCAGGATTGGGTCCCAATTCTCTGTCGGGACGCCTTGAGAATTTAAGACAGACAGAGAATTGTTAATGGAATTTTGAAGTGTCTGTAATGCTTCGCTGTTTTCAAAATGTACTTGGGATAGAGTAAGAAGAGTTTTAATCTGCTTGTCGACCAGGATTCTTTTGTTTTCATATCGGGACTTGAGAGCATTCCATGCAAGCGTAAAGTTTTCACCGCAAAGACCGTATTGTTTAACCAGGGCTCCGGCTTTTCCGGTTGTTTTGTATCGGAGATGATACAATTTTTGGGCAGGGGTAAGTTTGGGGTGATTAATATAAACTGCCGTGAACATGTCACGGAAGGATGGCCACTCTTCGTAACCTCCGGAGAAAGTTTCGGTGTCACAGGGTGGGACATTCAGGCACATAAAGGTATTTTCCTGCTCCTTTACCGGAAAAGGGGGTTTCTCTGCTAGACGAGACGTTTCGCACATTTGGGCCATCTGCACGTCCATAAGATCCGAAATTTGGGCCTTGACGTTGTGTGCCCGATCCTGGCACAGCTCCATTTTATTCCTGGCTACTAATTTGAACGTTGGGGGTAGTTCGCCATCTTCAGCCAACGATACATTCCGATATGCTCGCTTGACTTCCGCATAGTATTCGTCTATGTCTTCCCGGTAAGATTTCAGCAAGGGCACCGTTAGTTCATCTATGGGGAGTGAAGAAAATTTGGTACAGAAATGTACCAAATTGTCAGCCTCAAATATGAAAATGCTCATAGATGGGTCATATTCGCGTTCCTTTTGGTTACGTGACGCCGTTACACTCCGTGTTATCTTTTTTGGAACTGCCCCTTGGTTTTCCGAGTGAATATCTATCTCCGGAGTCTTTTGTGCATCAGTTTGCGTAGAAAATTCGGCATCTAAGGAGTTCTTTTTTGGGCTTCTTTCGAGAGGCATTATAAAACAATTGGTGTGGATACGCGACCGAGAAATCAAACAACGGAATTTGCGGAGACAAGTGAATCGCCAAAATTTGTTTTACAAGAGGAAACAAGAGAAAACAAAGGTTTTTTTTTTTTTTTACAGGGTGCTAAATATATAATTTGGTTTTCGTTAAGGGGCAGAGAACGAAGAGAAACCAAGCAAACAGGACCGAAGCTGTACGTTAAGCACGGGATGTTTAAGGTATTACAGCCTTAATAGGGCAAACGCACTTTCGCTTTACACTTTCGACGTAAAATTTGGTTTCCTTTTGCTGGGTAGCTGAAAGGGGTTATTAAACTTTGCTGGGGCCGCAAAATTTACCAAATTATCGAAAAATTCGCACTGATTGCGTAAAAACGTTAAAATTTTTCCGCTTATAAATTTCCTACTGGGCAGCGTAGAACTTTGAGCGAATTTTTCCTACTGGGTATTTTGTGTACATATAAGAGGTATATACATAAGTGCTTATGGATATTGGCTTGCGATTTGGGACTGCAAGTTTTCCGTTTTTCACATAAGCATGTACATGTATGTGTATATGCGAAATTATTGGCGTTGAAAGTAAATGAGGTTACTTACAATTTTTATTACTTTGGGTTAGTAATTTAATACACCGGCTTCCTTCGTATAGTTGTTGTTGTTGTTGGTGCTGTTTCCTCCTGTAGTCACCTTTTGTGAATTTTTCCGTTTTGTTTTTCAGGTTTTTGGTTCAACTATGGCGCTAAAGGACCAATGTTTAACTCCAGTGTTTATTGTCTATATTCACGAATGTCTTTGTTTTAAAAAACTAGCAATTCACCTATTCGCGTTAATATTAATTCACAATATAAATTCAAAATAAAGCAAACATTAAACGATTTAATGTAACCGCCGAGATATACATATATTGTTTTTAATAAGCAAAAAAAACCAATCGGAGATAATTAGGGATGGGATGTGTGTGTCGAATCGGAAAAGGCAGTCCTAAAGGCCCCTACACACGATACAGCTGTTTGGCTAAAAGGGATTTAGCCATCCTGGGCCGCCATGCACTTGTGCAGTCATTAAAAAACGTTTCGAAGGTCCGACAAGGATCGAATCGCGGAGGCGAGTAGGGATCTCGCCCTTTCCTTTTGATAGCGCGCCGTCTCGATGCCTCGGTTTGTATGTCGGAAGCCAACACTTCGCTTACGAGAAGGAGTTGGGGCGAACCGTACGGAGCGTCGCTGTGCTGATGTGTTCCGGTCTTGTGTCGACCGCTGTGGCGTACGACTCTTTTTCGTGTTCAAGGGGGTTCGGCTTCTACTAGCACGCCGAGATTGGCGGTTCAGTTGGGTACGTCTCTTGCTCTCCTGCTGCGGGGTGCGGCTTCGACTCGTCCGTCGCGGAGTCTGGTATCTGCTTCCGCGCCGCGGGGAGCGGTTTCTGCTTACTCGCCGCGGGGTGCGGCTTTTGCTCAGGCGCCGCAAGGAGCGGCTTCTACTTTCGCGCCGTTGTCGGGAATGAGAGTGCGAAGATCGGGCATGGGAATGCCTAATGGTCCGCGAGGTGGCCTGGTCGTAATCACGACGTCTGGCTTGTGTAGCTCGGGTCTGTCGATAACTCGGCTGACCTTCCTCGACGTGCAGCATGGTGTGATGGGCGAGACCGCATCTTTGGCAGCTATGCCGCGAGTCACAGCAGCCGGTGATGTGGGACCGGGCCAAACAATTGCGACAGTAGCCATGTGCGCGTACCACGTCGTCGCGTTGCCCGGGATTCATAGCCTTGAAGCCTTTGCAAAACCGCAGTGCGTGTTGGCGATGGCAGATCTGACAGCGGGTGACCTCGGCGTCGGACATGTTAACTGTAAATAGAAAGGGCTTTAGTGTTGGTATATGATGAGTTGAAAGCAAAGTGATTGTATAGGGATAATAAAGGGATTTATTAGTTACGAGGACGGCAAAACACACAACTTCACAATCGGACGTGTAAGTACGCCCGACTGCGTGCGGACATCTGCGACCCGGACATAGCTATCGGGTCCGCGATGAATTTTAATGATGCGTCCTAACCGCCATTCGTGCGGGGGTAGCGGCTCGTCCTTGATAACCACCATTTGACCTTCTTCGATCTCCTTCTGCGGATGTTGCCATTTATAGCGCTTGTGGAGCTCCTTAAGATATTCATCCTTCCATCTACGGCTAAACTGATGATGTAAAGCCTTCAGCTTTTCCCAGCGGTTGACCAGTGAGATGTTTTCCGCGTCGGGTTCGGGAATCGCCGTGAGTGGAGCGCCTCTCAGAAAGTGACCTGGGGTGAGAGCTAAAATATCATTAGGATCATGTGATAGGGGAGATAAAGGTCGGGAATTCAGAACTGCCTCAATACGGGTTAGAAGCGTGGAGAACTCTTCGAAATTGAATTTATGGTTGCCAGCTATCTTTTTCAAATGGGTTTTGAAGCTTTTGACAGCTGACTCCCAAAGGCCGCCCATATGGGGGG